CATACCAGTGTCTCTCATGCTGAGTTCAACTGGCATTACTGTACACTGTGCCAAGGCTAATGGGTAGATACGTTATCTAACATTAGCTGACAGTACATTTTACTACAGGTCACTGTTTACCTTAAAGTGATAGTTCACCCCAAAATGAAAATGTTGTAATTATTTAATTATTTACACTATATAATGGCACACACAAATGTATTTATTTTATTTAAATTCACTTTCATCAGCTGAATTCCACTAAATTGGTCCCTGTCCTAAATATATACATTTCATTTACAGCCCAATCATGCTGCGCTTCCAGGATGCTTTGTAAGTTATTTTAAATATTTTGCAGACAAACAATCTCCATACATCTCTAACGAGACATCATGATGATCTAGATGTATTTAGGGTGTTTAGATGTGAATGTGTGGAATCTCTCTAGCAATCCCATCACCTGTTGGTTGTTAATTTTCTTACCTGGGTCACACTCTCTAATGATTCAAGATAAAGATATTTTGGAGAAATTGTTTCTTTTAGCCAGTTTTATAAAGAGCTCTACATGATGTTGAATATGATCATAAAACAAGTGTCAATTCAAAATCAGATTTTAAATTGTCAGTAGGTAAATACTGATTGAATAAAATATATTACATTTTTCAAAGCACATAGAAATTTATTTGTTTTAAAGTTTGACAAAGGATTAACTTGTTAATTACTACTTTGATCCACAATCAGACGGTCCCGTACAAAACCATCATTCATGGTGGAGCACAGCCTGGAAAAGGCATCATCATCCAAGGAGTCATCAGCCCACAAGCTAAAAGGTTTGACAATGTCACTTTAGTTGTAAAATGTCTTTTTGTTTTTTTCTTTGAATAGTCTCTAATTCCAGGCCTATTAGAATGTCACATCATCCTAATCAATACAACTGAGATTGTCTTTATATATACTGTGTGTATATATATATATATATATATATATGTAATTTCCTCTCATTTTCTTTCTCCAACAGAGTGCTGTTTAGTCTACGGCACAGAACTGGAATTGCATTTGACTACAGTTTTTGTTTTGATGAGAATGTGGCCGTGTGCAACAGCTATAAGGATGGGAAATGGGGAAATGAGGAGCAATCTGGACTCAAGCTGTTTGAGAGAGGGCAAGCTTTTCAGGTATGTCTTTATGATTCCCATACATACTCTTTCTGTTAAGATGGACAATGTGTTTGACTGTATCATAGAGTTTGGGGGTTAATTAATATTTTAAGTTTACACTGTTTTACTTCACAGTATTGTATTGATATTCTTGCACCACACATATATGATATTATTCAATTTATTATATTGTATTCATTTTATGGTTGGGGGGGGGGTATTATTTTATACAAATCAATCTTTATGGCATAGATGGCAAAGTGGGTGTTGTAGTCGTTTATGCTGTGATCTGGCAAGTTCAAATCTGCCTTTTGCCAAACTTTCTCCTCTTTTCAAATATCATATCACATCAGAAAGGCATTCATTAAAACAATTATAATAATAAAATGATGAAGGAAAAAATTGAAAAGTTGAAAATAAGAGTAGGGTAGGTGTAGGGAGGGTTTATATTGTGACAATAAGGTGGCATCCATTTAATAATTTTAATAAAAAATATAATTTACACTTGATATGTTATTATTGCATACTGTTTTATATTGTATGAGGTGCAGATAATTGCCACTATTTGCAATATATAGTATAAATAGCAGAAAATCCTGTTATTTTAACATAGTGTAAATAGAATCTATAGCTTTTTTGCAGTCTATAAACTTCCACTCACGGCACCGTCATTTGATTTTGCAAGCGACTATGGTGTACCAGCTCTAATGCCATGGCGAAAGTTTTGAGCAAAACATGCTAACTTTTCTGTCTTTGGCTGCACAGACGAGCACAGAACACTGTTTAGAGTCCCGGCCTCAGAGGAGACAAGAGAGCAGTGCATTTATTGATTTATTTACTGTACATTGCTGCTGCCACACAGATCTAAGATAAACATACAATTTATTTCCCAGCTGTTTTGCATTTTAAAATCATGCAACATCTAAATGTCTGTTCAGTAGTCCCAATAACGACATAATTTAATTTGTGGTGCTTCTAATTAAGTATGTAAAGCAGTTGCAAATGTTGTACAAAATCAATATCACCACTACTCATCTTTACACCAGTAAAACGTGCAACACTTTGTTTTTCTACCAAATTATATGTAATATCTCATTATTAGATTAATATTTAACTTTCATTGGAAAGGTTTCTGTGACCTCTCGCGAGATCTCGGCAAAAAGTCTCATGATTTATTTCCAGAACATGATGCATGAGGGGATACACTAAGCCAGGGGTAGGCAAGTTTGATCCTAGAGAGCCGCAGTCCTGCAGAGGTCAGCTCCAACCCTAATCAAACACACCTGAACAAGCTAATCAGTGTCTTCAGGATTACTAAGGCTATAGGCAGGTGAGTTTTGTTTTCAGGGTTGGAGCTGAACTCTGCAGGACTGCAGCTCTCTAGGACCGAACTTGCCTACCCCTGCACTAAGCCTTGAATAGCGCTCCGGATTTAGTGTGCGTTAAGGGCACTGCGCTTTGGTGTTTTTAAGACCTGGGACAGTCTTGCGCATGTAACCCCTCTCTCCCGGGTCCTCACCGCCACACCTCGTTCTTGCTCCGAGTGGGTCTCGAACCCGGGTCTCCGGTATATATTTATATACAGTGGGGAAAAAAAGTATTTAGTCAGCCACCAATTGTGCAAGTTCTCCCACTTAAAAAGATGAGAGAGGCCTGTAATTTTCATCATAGGTTTACCTCAACTATGAGAGACAAAATGAGAAAACAAAATCCAGAAAATCACATTGTAGGATTTTTAAAGAATTTATTTGCAAATTATGGTGGAAAATAAGTATTTGGTCAATAACAAAATTTCATCTCAATACTTTGTTATATACCCTTTGTTGGCAATGACAGAGGTCAAACGTTTTCTGTAAGTCTTCACAAGGTTTTCACACACTGTTGCTGGTATTTTGGCCCATTCCTCCATGCAGATCTCCTCTAGAGCAGTAATGTTTGGGGGCTGTCGCTGGGCAACACGGATTTTCAACTCCCGCCAAAGATTTTCTATGGGGTTGAGATCGGGAGACGGGCTAGGCCCCTCCAGGCCCTTGAAATGCTTCTTACGAAGCCACTCCTTCATTGCCCGGGCGGTGTGTTTGGGATCATTGTCATGCTGAAAGACCCAGCCACGTTTCATCGTCAATGCCCTTGCTGATGGAAGGAGGTTTTCACTCAAAATCTCACGATACAAGGCCCCATTCATTCTTTCGTTTACACAGATCAGTCGTCCTGGTCCCTTTGCAGAAAAACAGCCCCAAAGCATGATATTTCCACCCCCATGCTTCACAGTAGGTATGGTGTTCTTTGGATGCAACTCAGCATTCTTTCTCCTCCAAACACGACAAGTTGAGTTTTTACCAAAAAGTTATATTTTGGTTTCATCTGACCATATGACATTCTCCCAATCCTCTTCTGGATCATCCAAATGCTCTCTAGCAAACTTCAGACAGGCCTGGACATGTACTGGCTACTGTGATTTGTTTATAAAGATAAGCCCTGTTTCGAGTTGTGAGGTTTAGGCAATCACCGGCACCAGCAGCGTATTCCTCGCTGAGAACAGCCTTAATTATGTAGCCTTACTTTTGTATTTTTTAGTGCTGGGCAATGATTAATCACATCCACAAAAAAAATGAAAACATTTATTATTATTTTTATATATATATATATATATATATATATGTGTGTGTGTGTACTTTGTATATTTATTATGGATATATAAAAACACACACACATATAGTATATATTTTGAAAATATTTACATTTACATGTATATATTTATATTCATGTAATTTATATTATGTATAAATATATTTAATATATAAACATAACATGTTTTTTTTCTTAAATATATACGTGCATATATGTGTATTTATACATAATAAATATACACAGCACATACAAATATATTATGTACACAGCAAAAACTTTTATTTTGGATGTGATTAATCATTGCCCAGCACTGGTATTTTTATTTTAACTGAATGTTTTAAGAACTGTGCTTTTTGAACAAATTGCTTGCTTGTCTTTTATGCACTATACATTATGATTATTTGTTAAAATCTCTTTTGTGGGTTAGCATACTAAGCATTGGTCACTCTGTTAGTGATTTTATATTGAGAATATTTTGAGGAGCTGAGGCTCTGGGCAGCTTTATCTGAATCTGTATTTCACAATATTCTGTTCAAATAGGAATGTGTTAAATTGAGAATAATTTCCCACTTCTGTTTACCATTTCATCTGCAAACAGTCTTATTTTATAATCACTGTGATCCCATTTTAGTTTTCCCATTTCATTTCATTTTTATTTTATGTTTGTATTTTAAATGTAATTAAAGTTTTAGTAATTTTGTTGTGTTTTGTCATTATATTAATATTTTAGTTAAATATGTCTACAAAGTTGTTTGTAACTTTATTTCAGATTTAGGTTTACTTAAGTATATTAAGTTTTGTTTTCTGTTAATATTTCTTTTATTTCAAGTAACAAAATGTTATGTTTCATAGTTAAATATAATAACCCTGTCTGCAAATTATTTTTATTCAATTTTTTGCAATCATTGTGAATATTGCCATAATGTTGTATTCCTTTAGTATAACAATGTTATACTAGAGAGAGAGAGAGAGAGAGAGAGAGAGAGAGAGAGAGAGAGAGAGAGAGTTTTTTTAGTTAGATTTGTTAGTACAGGACAATATTTGGCAGAGATACAACTATTTGAAAATCTGGAATCTGAGGGTGCAAAAAAATAAAACCAAAATATTGAGAAAATCACTTTATCTGAAAAAAGCCAAAAAGATAGTTATACTTCTATTGCAATAAAAGAGGCCTGTAGTTTTGGATAATAGAAATGCATGGGGAAAAATGGTTTCCAGACAGAATAGCAGAACTTAAGCAGTGTCAGTAACCTTGTATGACTCCTGGGTGACGAGGATCTGCAGAGCAAACGCCTGGCCTCTTGGGACAGGAGTTTTGTACTCGCGTTCTTCTTTGCCCCAGACACCTTTCTGATTGGTGTTGTGCACGACGAACCCAGATCCTCCTTCATAGCGAGGGTTAAAATGCAGTATGACATCAGACCCATACTGAAGGTTCACCTCCAATCTTGTGAAGACAGATTAGAAAGAGTAAAATAATGAAAACCGTATTTGGCGATTGTATTTTCAAAATACGCATTCAAGTTACATATATACTTTGCATGTGCTGCTTTCACTATTAAGAAACTTGAAGTGCATAACGAAGGGTAAAACCCAACAAAAACATCTTTCTGGTAAATCTGTGGTTACCGAAATACTGTTACTCACGTGTCTGCATTTGGCCAAACCCGTCCACATACAGTAATACTCATGCCATCCTGCAATCCCCCCTGGATTGGAATATTGAACGGGACACTCTGTGTGAAAGATTTACATACCATTTCATCTTAAAAAATGCATACTTGCACTTCTTTGCACATTAATGTTAATGATAATAACATATATTTTTTTTTCAACATAATGTTTTAAAACACTGTTCTTCTGATTATCTACAGTATATCAGCAATCCAGATCAAAGTATGAGGTATCTAGTGTGAGCATATTTCAACATTTATCTTGTTTATCTCTTATCTTAATGTTTATCTCAACATTTCAGTGTGTTTGTCTAGAGATGAAGCTAACATATGCAGGACAGTGACTCTTCTGGAACATTAGAACAGAGTATGTATTCTCTAGTATACACACACACACACAAACACACAATTGTATTTTTTTAGTTTGTAGCTTCTTCCTGTTGTCCCCTCAGCAGTCTTTATTGTAAGATGCTGTGTCTAGTTATTCTTGTAAACCTTTGTCTTTATAAATGATCAAGTATTGGCTGTTATGCTGATAGACTCTCTTTATGTTCCTTCTTTTTGTTAAAGTTAAAAACTCAAGGCTAAATAAGTCATTTCGTTTTACTGATTGAAGAGTTTAGTATATGCATTACTGAAAGAGTTCCAATGTGATAACTCATCAGAAATAATTAGGCCAGCCTAAGGGGGTGCATTCTTGTGCTGAATATATACATTTCTAAATAAAACAAGATTTTTGAAGTGCAATTGACCATTTGACAGTTATTTATTTGTTAAATTTACTAGAAACTTCTGAATGAAAATTGGTTCAAAGTAAATCCTCCATTTTTTTTTTCAGTGTAGCAAGCAATTGTTCCAACATGCAAATCAGTATCCTATGCACAAATGTAGTTATGCATTTATGTTTTGAACATTGATTCTAAGTTGGGTATATATATATATAAATAAATATAAATTATAATATATATATAAATATATTTTTTTTATAAAACATTCAACATATTGTCAATTGACATGAACTGAAATTAATCATGATTTCAAAATAACTGGTGACTTACCGGGTTGAAAAATGGTGGTTGCTGATGCAGAGCCATTGTGTTAGATTTTAAAGTGTATCTTTAATCTTGTATTCAAGGCTGACAGATGACTGAAGCTCCACTTAGAGGTTTCAGAATCAATGTAATGTGGTCTGTCCTTGAGTGTGCAGTTGTTGCCAGTTTTCTTCACCAAAGAATGCACTATCATGGGAAGAAATTAACACACACACACACACAGAGTGTTATGATCAAACTTTCTTCAGAGATTTATTGTTTTAGGCATTGGTTTATATACCTTCATAAATGAAGAAATATCATCCCATCAGATTCTCACCCAATGAAATTAATTCTTGCCTTTTAAGGAGTCAAAATGAGCAAAATAGGTTAGTGGGTCCCAAACACATTCCTGGAGGCCCTCTAAAGCCCGAAACACACAGCACGATTTTGGGCTGTCCCAGACGAAAGATTGGCATCGTGAAACAATCGTACCGATTTCTGTGATCATGGCTCCTAATTAGTGGTCCTGTGTCGTACAGTGAGAGAGTTTCAAAGACGGCAGTTGTCACGGTCTTGCGACCAAAGATACAGCATGATCATCGCACAGTGTGTTTGCTGCCATGATCCACATTTACTGACCAACCAATAAAAATATGTAACATAAAGTGAGTCTATCAGCATAACAGCCAATACTTGATCATTTATAAATACAAAGGTTTACAAGAATAACTAGACACAGCATCTTACAATAAAGACTGCTGAGGGGACAACAGGAAGAAACTATAAAAACTAAAAAAATACAATTGTGTGTTTGTGTGTGTGTGTGTGTGTATAATAGAGAATACTACTCTGTTCTAATGTTCCAGAAGAGTCACTGTCCTGCATATGTTAGCTTCATCTCTAGACAAACACACTGAAATGTTGAGATAAACATTAAGATAAGAGATAAACAAGATAAATGTTGAAATATGCTCACACTAGATACCTCACACTTTGATCTGGATTGCTGATATAGATAATCAGAAGAACAGTGCTTTAAAACATTATGTTGAAAAAAAAATTATGTTATTACCATTAACATTAATGTGCAAAGAAGTGCAAGTATGCATTTTTTAAGATGAAATGGTATGCAAATCTTTCACACAGAGTGTCCCGTTCAATATTCCAATCCAGGGAGGATTGCAGGATGGCATGAGTATTACTGTATGTGGACGGGTTTGGCCAAATGCAGACACGTGAGTAACAGTCTCTCGGTAACCACAGATTTACCAGAAATATGTTTTTGTTGTGTTTTACCCTTCTTTATGCACTTCAAGTTTCTTAATAGTGAAAGCAGCACATGCAAAGTATATATGTAACTTGAATGCGTATTTTGAATATACAATCACCAAATACGGTTTTCATTATTTTACTCTTTCTAATCTGTCTTCACAAGATTGGAGGTGAACCTTCAGTATGGGTCTGATGTCATACTGCATTTTAACCCTCGCTATGAAGGAGGATCTGGGTTCGTCGTGCACAACACCAATCAGAAAGGAGTCTGGGGCAAAGAAGAACGCGAGTACAAAACTCCCGTCCCAAGAGGCCAGGTGTTTGCTCTGCAGATCCTCGTCACCCAGGAGTCATACAAGGTTACTGACACTGCTTAAGTTCTGCTATTCTGTCTGGAAACCATTTTCCCCCATGCTTTTCTATTATCCAAAACTACAGACCTATTTTATTGCAATAGAAGTATAACTATCTTTTTGGCTTTTTTCAGATAAATGTCAACGGGAAACCCTTCTCTGAGTACAAGCACCGTATGCCGTTCTCATGGGTGGACCACATCTACGTGTTTGGAAAAGTTGAACTGAATTTAGTTGCCTTCCAGTATCTTGCGGTGAGAAATATATATTAAAGAATGCTCTTGAAAATGTAACCACTAATAAGCATATACCCATATCATTATGTGTTATATATGTGACCCTGGAGCACACCTGGAGTCTTAGCACAGGTATATTTGTAGCAATAGCCAACAATACATTGTATGGGTCAAAATGATAGATTTTTCTTTTAAGCCAAAAATCATTAAGATATTACGTAAAGATCATGTTCCATGAAGATATTTTGTAAATTTCTTACCATAAATATATCAAAACTTATTTTTTGATTAGTGATATGCATAGCTAATGACTTCATTTGGACAACTTTAAAGGTGATTTTCTCAATATTTTGATTTTATTTTTGCACCCTCAGATTCCAGATTTTCAAATAGTCGTATCAGCCAAATATTGTCCGATCCTAACAAACCTAACTGACAAAAACATAAAACATAAAACTGCTTAACGCAAGCTCCTATCCCTTCCTCTTTCACTGCTTCCACTTTTTTTCAGCACACATAAAAACTACAACTGCTAAAGTGTGATTTGTCATGCTCTTTTTGTTTACCACTAGCGCAGTCTGATGATGTTTTATTCTTCTATTGTAACGTGCTTGATCTTGTAGGATTGCTAAAATCGTGCAGTATGTCTCAGGCTTAACACTGCATTTTCTTTTCAAGTTTCCTTAATCAAACACACCTTTTTCAGCTCATCAGCTCATTACTAGAGACTGCAAGACCTGAAATAGGTGTCAGTGGTTGCACAGTTAAAGTTTATTGTATATTCATAAAGGAGAAAAAAAGTAGAAAGTAAATCAGCTCCATAGCTGATTCCAAGTAATCAAGGGCTTAGGATGTTCCAAGACATATGTTGCAATGACATACATCGGGGTCAACGAGATGTAGGAAAGGGAGGAAAGGGCATAAAAAAATGAAAGCACCCCTTGAACACCAGGGAAGGCTTAGCAAACAGCCTCAACCTTCAGTGAGTTTTAATAACACTCATCAGCAGCAACTCCTTCTATTACTCTTCTATTACATAGCAGCAACTCCTGCACTCCTTCTATTACTCTTTTAACAGTGCTACATACATCAACCACAATGTGCCACTGAGATCTATTCAGCACCCCTCAAGCCTGAGATATAGTTTCAGAATGCAGCACTTCTGAACAGTTGACTAAAACGTTGATCAATATGGCGACACACTACTTGGGCATTGCCTAGTACTAGGGATACAGATCCTGTGCTCTTTTGAATTAAACATGACAGCCATTTTGGTCCATATCCAAAATTCCTGGTACATACAGTACTTCTAGTGATGTCTTCAGTTTGATCCAGGTTTGCTGTGTTTGACTTAAAGGGTTTCTGTTGAGTTTTGTAGGTTACCATTGTGCTGAAGAGTAGAGTCTGTGTGTTATTTTTTTATCACGTAATGCAGTTGAACTCCAGATAAAAAAGTTATTTGAGTACTTTCCTTTTATATTAAGAAATATTCTTTTTAGTGGACTCAAATTAAATAAGTTCACAATAATAAAATAGCTCCATGATTAACACAGCATAAATATTAGTTTTTGAACTTTTTTTGACTTTTTAAATGATCATCACATGATATAAGACCACATTCTTTTAAATAACTTGCTGCTGCTGAACTGCACCTTTGTGTCTAATGCAGTAGTAATTCGGGCAGTATAAATGTTACATAAATTGGCTAGTTGTGTTTCACTGTCAGTACATGCAGGTTGCCTGAGGCTGCCATTTGAGTCTTTCAATCTTTCATTATTGGCTTCTAAAAACTTTCACTTTCATGTTTCATAACTCCCTATTTATAGTCAAATTTCACGTCTGTGCCAGAGCTTTGTATGTACAATGCATTGCATGGTAAAAAAGGCCAATGTGTTCAGGCAATTAGGTTTGTGAAATGTAAAGGAATGAATGAAGGAATTAATTAAACAAACAAACAAACAAATAAATAAAATAAATAAATAGCAACAACAACCTACTTTGAATTCCATTACAATTCATCAATAATTTGTTTATTATATGATCCTCTGAAGATCCTGCAGTTTTTATGTAGTCCACTATATAAATGGATGTACTTGGGGTGTATTTAGTTCCATTAGTTCTTAATTAAAATATCCCATATATTGATACTAGTCTGTACGAATACAGAAGATCAGAATTAATTTTAAAAGATGAAGTGATTTCAACCTGTGGCTGTAGTCATGATTGTACTTGCCACGGAAGAGGCAAGCATCAGCTCACTACATACTTTCACAACTACTTTTTAATTTATGAGAATTGTGCTGTTTTTTGTTGTTTTTTTTTTTTGGCACATGTGCTCAAAAAATTGTAATATAGTTTTCTTACATTTGCATGATCGAAACTTATGTGGTTTGCATTTTGATCAGCACATTGCTGATCCAAACTAATGAGTTGATTCTAAGTGAAAGTATCACACATTTCATTTCTTCTAAACATTCATCATATGAGCCAAAAGTTACTTATTCAGTTACCAAACTTGCCCACAGAAATAATGTACTAGAAATGTGAGTATTATTTAAGTCAAGTCACTTTTATTTATATAGCGCTTTTAACAATACAGATTGTGTCAATCTGTAGTTAGAATATCATTTGTAATTGTAAGGGTTTAATAATAAGTGTTTCATTATGGTTACACATGAATTAGCTTCCAAATGGCTGAAGGATGATAAAACATACAGTTAATTGTACCCAGCATGTGAGTTTTTCATTTTAAATACTAAAACATATATTTTACAGTTTTATTCCACTGAAATTCTTTTTAATTTTTTTTTTAATGTAATTTATTTTTTTGGTGTAAATAGCCAGATTAATGTAAGTATCAATTGCAGTATGGATAAATACTGTGAAGAAGTTGTAAAAAGGGTATTCTAGAAATAATGCTTTTAGAAATTGTGCAGAATTTGCAGGAGTAATTCAGACCAGAGTGCTATTGTCTGTAAGACCCTCTCTACTCATCCCTGTGTTACAGCTTCTACAATTTTTGCTGCTGCTGCAATAACTGATACTCCAGCTGCTGCTCCTATTATGTTCATTCTTACAGCTCCTAGTCCAATCCCATCACTGGTTGCCAGTGCAACTGCAACCACTGCTGCTGCTGACACTCCTGCAGCTATCATTACTACATTATTTTGTGCATCCCTTTTTCTTCCTGCAATTGTATTTTCTCTAGCATTTACAGGGGCTCTTGCTATTTCCCCTCCTTTTGTTCTGTCTCTCCTCTCTACTATTTCATCCTCTCCAGTCCTACTGTCACTGTTCTCATTATTGACATTCTTACAATTGTTGCTTCTGTTTTCAGTTCTTATATTCCTATCTGTCTTAAACCTCCTATTAATACTACTGTTGTAACTACTGGCTTTGTTACTCCTTTAAATGCAATGAATGCTGCTAAAATAAACACAGTTTCAACAACTATATAAACTAAATTCACAAGTTTCACTTGCACTGATATGGCAAGATGTTTTTCTTTAGTTTTCCTCTTTCATGGACAGCTCTTTTCACCTTGGTGTGTAAATGTATTTAATCTTTGGCAGTGAATCGCACCGACTCTTTCGCAAGACGTCAATCATATGAATATTTAAGCCTCCGGGGTCATTTTGACCCACGAGGGACACTTTTGTTATAGGTTCGGGAGGGACGGATGAGGGTTTTAAAGGGACAGCAGCCAAAAAAACCTAATAACCAGCTGCTGTGATGTCTGTTAATCAAAGACAAAAAAATAGGAAATCAATAACTTGTGTAGCTTTAAGGATTCTTCTATATTTATTTATTTATTTTATTTTATTTTATTTAGTGTTTGATAACTTTATTAAATTTGAGTATATTTCCTACTTGCTGAAGGCCACAGGTAAATGTCACATTTATTATAATGGTTTTATGTGAAGATTATTTTAATTTCATTTAAATTAGAAGTTATTTTAAGTAGTCTAATGAATGTTAAAATTTATAGCGCTTGTCGCTTCAACCGGTTGACATAAAAAAACAACCGGCAGCAATCGTGGATTTGGCAACACTGGTCCGCAAACTATGTTTCATATAACTCCTCCCCGAACTTCCCGCTGCACTGTATCTTGGTCTCTCATTGGCTGTAGGTCATCGCCGATGTGTTTTTCAGTCAGAACTCATTTCACACTGTGATTGTGAATCGCCGACAGCTCCAGATATTTAGCATGCCAAATATTTCACGGGTGTCGGCGATTCCCTCAGATCGCGTCTTTGATAATTCACACTGCGTGATTGTCACTCGCGTGAACCAGCACCGATTTGCCTCCGATTTCGGGCATTTGTCTGCGATTTCGCGAAACCTGTCGGCGAGTGAAAAATCGGGCTAAAATCGTGCAGTGTGAACTCGGCATTATATGCTCCGTGACCTAGTTTTCTCTCATGTTTGATTGTGTCATTTGGTTCAGGTGTGTCTTGTTAATTGCCCACGTCATCCCATATGTTTAAGCCCTAGTCTGTGCTGTCTGTGTTGTTCCGGTCTATAACGTCCCTACATGTGCTCCGGCCTGTTCTGTTCTAGATTTACCCTTGTGTGGATTTATTAAAGATTATTTTCATAAATCTTCATCTTCTTCATGCGTTTATCTCACCATAGCACGACAGAAGACTCGACCTAAAAGTGATAGGTACGCAGCTGAGCCTGAGCCCACCGCTGACGGAGAGCCATCGCCCGCCGCGACCAGCAAGCCGTCGCCAAAGAGAGCGACAGTTCTGAGGATCGCCCCGGAGCTAGAGCCCGTGATATTAGACCAGGTGCGAGAGCTGGCTACAAAGCTCGCCATGAGGGAGAGTGTCATGGACAGTGAGAGAGCGGAGAGAAGTTCTGCCCACTGCACCATGGCTGAGGGTGAGCTGAGCTCAGTGAACTGTAATTGGGATTTATATGCAAACATGCCCCCTCTTCTCCCGCTTTCATCTGAACGCTCTGTCTGCCCTGAACGATCTGCCAATCCTGAAACGCCCACAGAGGTAGTTCC